AGATTTCACACCGCTGAGATGAACAGTTGTTGAGATATTCACATGTAAAAAAACAGGAAGTGATGTCATAGGGGAATGTCTGAATGTAAACAGTGCGTTGTTAAAACAGACTGTAGAGAAAAATCTTATGTTTCTTTAGATTAATTTAATCACTATCATAGAGAGATAATAAGACAGTTTAAATAATGTTTAAATAAATTAAAACCAGGAAGTTTTCTTTCTCAAGGAGTTCCCCTTGATGTCACTTCCTGTTTCACTTTAGCTGAGCAAAATTCAAAAGAAAATCTGCCATTTATGTGACATAACAGGTCAAATCATGTGCATTATGCCAAGTTTCTTAAATATAAACATATTTTCTCTGACTTGTTGTATTTAATGGATATGCACGTCACAGGCACCTGTCAAACTCAAGGCCTGTGGGCCAAATGTGGCCCACCACAGCAGTTAATGTGGTCTGCGAGGGCRTCAAAGAGGCTGTTTCAAAGGCAGCGTCGAACAGAAACTAAATCTTCATAATGCACATGGATTATGTTACCCACATAATGACGCAGTAACTGCGTAAAATCTACATTTTTTCTGTATTTTCATCGGCTACTTTTTGAGTTCCGACTTATCGCCCGAGCTTGACCTGACCCYAGCATCAATCATTCAGGTCTGTAAGAAATTAGGGAAACCATTTTACATGATTGGATTATTTAGGGCTTTTAGGCTGAAAATACAGGGATTGAATTCAACTTTTATAAATACGGTAGAAAAATGTTGGGTTTACTTCGGGCTCAGGCTTCTAATCACAGTTAACTGGTTCAGTTTTAATCAAACAATGATTTCAAGCTCGGGTCGGACTCTTTCAGACCCGATTTAAGCTCTACAACATTTTCTGCTGCCCAGTTGTACTGGGAAATGGGAATTTTCCACTTATGAGTTGTTAATTTAAACTGGAATGCACCTCTAGTGGGAATTCCCAGTTGGAAAGTGGGAGYCTCAAGAGTGAGTAAAACTCTCACTTTTAATGTTATTTCTATAGCATTTAATTCGCACTGAGTTAGCCGTACACATACTTTTTAATGTGTTAACGCTGTTTCTGTACAGGAAATACCACGTAGAGCTCAGTTTTAGTTTAGTAGTGAGGCTCAGGAACATAAAGCTCATGTGCCCTCAGTGAAAATTAGTTTACCACTCCTGCTTTAAATGTTTATTATGTTGTGCTCAGAAACACAACACATTTTAGTTTAAAATTTTATTGTGTCTGTATTAAATARTGACTGAATACACAAAAAATAAATACTCTGCTTAAGCCTGAATGATGTAAATATTTTAAAAACTACTCAAATCTAACAGCAAACATCGTCTGTTTTTCTGCTGCCTTGAAATATTTAAATGGCAGTCTGAATTCATTCATTTTATGGGACATTAAATGTWTTTTAAAGTCTAAATATATCAAGATTAAACAAGTGCTGATGTCTGACAGTTGCACCATCCTGCAGGAGTTACCAAACCATGTTGTGTTTTTATCAGCATCAACACTGTAAACATCTAGGAACTCTATTCTTAACCTGTTGCACAAGCGTCACATGATGCGATCGTGAGGAGAGAAATAAACTCAGCTGCTACCTTTCTGTAATCACATAATGTTTCATCTCATTCATTCCTCCTGAATGTGAGTTAAGAGTCAAACAGTTTTTATTTCGGTGTCTGAGCTCATGGCTACGTCTGGAAGTCGTAAAAAAGTTCCTGCTGTGAATCTGAGACGCTTCACGGCGCGTCYAAGCTCAGATGTTTTTCCTGTTTTTACCTCGAAGGGCCTCCATGACGGGAAGAATGCTCTCCGACCACTGCTGAGCGGCGATGGCCGTGTAGATCCCTGGAAAGTCTCTCTGCCAAATGTGCTGGCCCACGGCCCAGATGGCCGTCAGCTCGGGGTTGGCCTGCGAGCGGCGGGGGGGAAGCAGAGGGTTAAACTTTTCAGCCGTCCTTCTCAGGGGGGTTTGTTTTTGTTCACACAGATCTGAGAAAACCGATCAAAGATTCAAACTTTGGCTGCTTCCTGACGTCAACGTATCGAGAAGGTTTCAAAGAAAAATTTGAGACAAACACAGAGGAGATGAAATAGCTGATTGATCTTATCGACTAATGATTGTGTAGGGGTCACCTCGAGTGAAGAAACAAGATTTACTGCCTCGAAGCAGGCCTCGCACAGGCCTGACG